TTGTTGTTGTTGTTGTTGTTGTTGTTGTTGGAAAATGCACTCAAGTGTTTTGACTGTGTACCCTTGTAGATAGTGCTAGCGCGACAGATATCGATCAAAGCACATGCCAGGAGACTCTGGAAAACCTTGTTCAAGCTTTCCAAAAAGTCGTTGACCTCCAGTCCAGGGTAAGCCCTATAAAGTAATATGTAGCTGCCATAGCAACATAACATCGTGCTTGTTCAGCTCAGGTTGAGTAATGGTAGTTTTTAGAAAGTACTTACTCTTAAGTTTGAGAATCTTTTTTTTTTCGGATGAATCTTCATCATCTTCAGTTTCAAATGATGGTGGAACCGCTAGTTGGCGTATATAAATTACAAAGGTCTCAAATAATAATTACTAGCTTACAGCATCAGAATGAGTAAAATGTGTATTGTTCATATATGCGTAATAGGGATTTAATTTTGGATAAAAATAGGTGTTCGTAGGAGTGCAGAGCCACTTTATTTTCTTACTGAATTTCAGTTGGACCTAAGTGATGTGAATGCAACAAGATTCCAGTAAAAGACTGAGAGTTTGAAATCATAAATGGGGGTTGAAATACCAGTTTAAAACGGGAGCAGATGATTCGAACAATTATAACTTTTTACGAAATCGTTAACAAAAGTTAATCTGCCTGCGTTCATTTGCAGATTCTGAATGACGAACCCTCGGACGAAAGCCATGAGGTGTTGTCGTACATTTCAAGCACATTTTCAGCCATAGAGGATCAAATACACGAGTCGCGCCTTCGACGGCGGCAGTGGGAACTTTCTTCTCTTCCCAGGGGTAAGCCCGGCTCAGGTTCCAGGCCTCTGGGCGGCGCGTTAAGTTTCTCCACTGGCAACTTGGACCAACTGTTACCTAAAGGGAATTCTTTGAGAAGAAATTCGGCGTTTTCTATATCGTCCATACCCGAGGATGTAGAAATACATGAAGTTTTACTGGAAAAATACTCGAACAGATTGTTAGAGATGGTCGCGCAAAAACTTAGTAAATGAGTAGTCTCTACAGCAGCCTGAAATTCGTTTCTCTGTAAAAAAACAAACAAACAAACAAACAAACAGCACAACGTAACAGTTGTCGTTTTGTCCTTCAAAATGGTTGTGAAAGTAGCTTCACTGGTTCATTTCGAGCTTAGTGTGAATTTGACTGTAGGTTACTTGTCTGTAAATGTAATATGCAGTCTTTTTTTGCTGACCAGGAGGGGCGTGGAGTTTCAAATCACTCGTTCTATAAAACAAATGTGAAAAAGTACGTCTTTCAAAGGTGGACGAGTTTTCGTGTCAAATTGTGTTATTTTTGAATTGATATTTTCTACGTTGATCTATGAATGTAAGAAATCGTTATGAGAGTAGATACTGAGTAACGGACTGATTAAATATGATACTTTATATTTAAAAGGGAAAAACTATCAAAAGTAGTTGTAAATAAACCCTATGAGGTGAAGTTTGACTTTATTGTTCTGTTTTTGTTGTATTTTCATGTCTTTTGGGCGGCTCGTGCCAGGTGCACTACGACTGTATAAGATATGATATAGCAAAATTAAAAAAGCTGCGGCCGGATGTCCAGAAAATTTTCTTCTCGCGGCTTCGTCGTTGGCTTCGTAAAAGTGTAGCAGCTCTCGTATGCTTGTAACTGTTTTGTTTGTTAGCAGCTGTTAGACAGCTGTTATTGTTTCGGGGCTAATGGCTTTGTTTCTGTTGTTTATTCTTTTGTCCTCTTTAATAAAGGATATCAAGCCATTCATGTGAGACCTGACAAGAGCTGTTACTCGACCCCTTCCCAATCTAACCAGGGCGGGTTCATTTACGCGGCATACTGGCATTTCAGCGTCGTATTAAATCTGCCAAGGGAGGAAAATGGGATCATTACGTAAGTAGGGGTTCAACCTGTTCTACTAGACTGGAAATCCGAAGAGTAGGGAAAAGGAGCTAGCGTTGGAAGACCACACTCGAGAGAGAGGCAGAAATCTAGCCTAAACACGGAATAAGAGCTTTTGTAATTATTATTTCTTGGAGTGCATCCTCAGCTAAAAATGTGGCGTTTAGTCATGAACACCCTAAGTGAGTCCAGAATCCTTGATTTATACCCCTAAGCGAGACGACGAGCATCCACGACCTTTTCATATAGGAGTCCCTCACCCCCCTCCCCGGGAAAGCAACCGTGGGATTTTAATAAGCCAGCGAGTTTCGAAGCCTCTCCACTTTCGAAACTGCGGTAATCACTAGTAATGCCAGAAGCCCCTGGTAATGCAGAAAAATGTGAAGTGGAAGAACTGTACCACCAGTTTGACGGACTACAGCTTTCATCAACACTAGTTGGAGCCATGAAATAAGAAGAGTGAAATTATTTTTATAGGATCAAGATTATTTCGGTGCGGCTAATGGGGCATTTCCGCAACTGTCACCAACTTCCGGTTCAGGCGTTGCGCTTAGTCACGCTTCGTCACGCGATCTTTTGCCTCTTCCAAGATGGCCGATGAAAGCAAGAAAAAACGTTTTCGAAACGAACCTCGTAGCACGTTATCCTGCTATGCTCTGCGACTAAAACCTGGACAAGAAGTGAGAGAATGTTTACTAAAGTACGTCAGGGACAAAAAACTCGAGGCACCGTTCGTTCTTTCATGTGTAGGCAGTGTGACGCAAGCTACCCTGCGGCTGGCTAATGCAGCTAGAGATACTCCAAATGAGGTGAGAAACTGCATCCACCTGTCATGTCTAAGAGACTCCTGGTACCTCTGTCGTAAGTTTATCGGCTATTAAGTACAGGATGCAGGGCTACGTTTAATTTTCTAGCAAAGAATTGAAGTGGCTTGCTTGTTTAGACGCGGTTTAGACACGTGGCTCGCGCGCTCTCGGCGCGCTTCGCCCCCAAATTCCTTTTGTATTGATCTGTTCCCTTTCTAAACCTACTATGCAAGCTAGCTCGATTAGCTCATTTGTTCCACAATCTTCTACGGCTGGGAGAGATTTCCTTATATCCACATGCTCAATAGCCTGCGAACACGGACTTACTTCCGGCTGTTCTATCCGGCCGGCCCGGAAACTGGGATTCAAGACTATCAAACAATTTATTTATACCTCGTTCTGCCAGCAGTAACGTTCAACTTTATAAACGGGCTCTGTTATTGTGAAATTTGGGAAGTTGGGCTAGAAGTGATTAGGTCTGATTTGGCCGTTTTAGAACCCCTCCCCTCCCCTGAGAGGATACTATAGTGCTCTGCAAGCTGTTTCCACCCTCCCCATCCCCACCTACATATTATCACTGGCAACAATGTTCGTCCCTATCATTTTCACCACAGGGAAGATGTGACACTGCAAGGGTGTAGTGTCATTTCCTAAGAACACAATTTTTTACGAGAGGACTCTTGGGAGGGGGCTCTCCCATGTAAAAAGGACGGGCTGCTTATTAGAAATTTTGAAAAATCCCCTAAGAGGTACCAAGATCCTGTTTTGTGGGCATGGCTTCAAGTATTTTTCATCCCTAAGGTGTACCAATTCTAAGAGAACGTATGATCACCTGTCTTTTTCCTTCTGGTTAGTTCTGAGAATTTCATCTTACAACAACGCCATATCCCCTAGTTCTGTTGCAGGACGAGTTTGTCTTTTTCAAATCAATACTCTAAAAGATACCACAGAAGCTCCAGCCATGGACCTTTCGAGGCTGAACACCCTAACAGGTGCCAAACCTGCTTTTTAGCCCCTAAAAGGCATGATGAGCATCCCCCTCCTTTATTTATGGGAGTCCCCCCTCTCAAGGAGAGGACTCGTGCCAGCCTCATTTGTCTTGACTCTCCCAGGAGTGAGTGGTTTGTAAACTCATCCTGCAACAGAACTAGGGGATATGGCGTTGTTGTAAGATGAAATTCTCAGAACTAACCAGAAGGAAATGTATGGGATACCTTGGGAGAATTAACTTTCAGATCTTGGGAGTGGAAGGGTTAAGTGCTATATTACCAATGCTTTCCGTGCCTTCATCATTGGATATGTTGTTTCTATTTAGATAATGGAGGTCAAAGGCAGGCATGAGATTGTCTCACTTGTTGGAACACTTGCAGATGAAGGGCACCTTCACGCTTCCCTTTCAGACAAGGACGGACATGTGGTGGGTGGCCACGTTATGGGAAACATGGAAGTTTTTACTACTGCTGAGGTTGTTATTGGAAACTGTGATATGTTGTCATTTACCAGAGAAATGGATGACACGACTGGTTTTGATGAGCTTGTCGTAACTGAGAAATAGTAAACTAAGTAGCCTGCTTAAGTTATGCTGATCACTTGAGCAACTGTAACAACTATCGTAGTCATTATCTGTTTACATTCAAATTAGGGACCGCTCATTTTTTAT